AAGCATGAACACAATTTTGAAAAAATCATTTCAGTTGGAGTTGACTCCAATACATGATGAATCGACTCAATCGCAGCATGTATTGACTCAAGTTGCCTTGTGTCGATACATACAAGGCAGAGATGAGCAGAATCATTTTCTTGAAAAACTTTCAGAATGAGTTGTCTCATTCATAACTTGTATCGACTCAAACATGGCAGGGAGGTGCTTTTGACCATACTTCATTATGCATTGACTCATAGATTAAATGTGTTGACACATAAACTTGTTTTGCAAGACAAATCATAATTTTTTACTTATAATGGCTAATCTAATATGTTTTTAAATGACATACTATGATGACGCACATCCAGACATAGACAGTAAGGTCTAATATACACAAAGAACTAAGTGAACCTATTTTTAACATCATTCAAAATATATCTAAGAGACTAGTGCACTCACACCTCTTACCTTGTAGTTCCAGAAAATTTCAGCAAAGCAACTTCAAATGATTTCTTCTCTCAAGCCCTAGCACTCCTTCCTCAAAGTTCTTCTTTTCTCTTATTCCATTGTCTTTCAAGTACTGATAGAAAATACTCTAAAAATCTAATTTTTGTCTAACTTTAGAATATATATATATATATATATATATATATATATATATATATATATATATATATATATATATATATATATATATATATATATATATATATATATATATATATTATTTTATTTTAATTTCTCTAATTATACTTTTTGCCCAACTAAAGCTCAATCTTCCTCCACTTACTACTAAACTCTCTCAATTCTCATAATTGGCCTAATTCTACATATTCTCGCCAATTTCCAATTAATTAATTAATTCTCACTAACCCAATTAATTAACACAAAACACCATAAATATCATCGTCGGCCAAACATATATTCACAAAATAATTATTTAAATAAAATACTCAATTAAATTAAATAAATAATTAAATAAGAGAATAGTTAAATCGGGGTGTTACAATTTGCATATCTATTATTCAAAATCCTAGCACGTGTGTGGGTATCCACCAATATCTTTATAGAATAAGTATGCTTGTGGCCCACTTTAAAGCATAGCACTAAAAAAATCACATTTAGCCTTGCATTCTACCCTCACCCTATAACTCTTATTTTTTACAAAGGTAATTTCTCTACCATTTAATACTAACCACTCACGAATTGCATCTCTAAAATAAGCTAGTGAATTAAATTTCATACCCCACTTAAACTTGTAGTCCTTATTGAGTTGCCCCTTTCAAAACTTTTTAAACTTTGACCCTCCATCATCCGCAGATTCATCTAGATCTGAGTTGTCTAGTTCATCACTTAAATAATCATCATCTTCAAATTTATTTTGGGGTCTGCCTAGACATCATGCAATTATACCGTCATGATTTATAGATATATTAACATAAATTTCATCAAAACCATCTATAATAGCAGTAGTCCTCTCATCCTCACTATCATCAAAACCTTCAAAGCACTCATCATCTAATCCTTCCATATTTTGCATCCTATTAATGCACTTAGGTGCCCTGACTTTAAGTTCTATGTCACTCACATCATGTTCCAGATAAATATCACCATCAACTTGAATCGCACAAGTATATGCAGCAATATCGTATGCATCATTATCATTCCTCGGTTAAAAGAAATTTTCATCTATTTCAAGAATTTTCGTCCACGTCCTATAAATTCCTTCTTTATAACCCCACCTCATCACCAACTTATGGATTTCGAACATTTTCCACTTGTCAATCTGTTGCGATGAAATTATCGTATCCACACCACCTTTGCATAGGATGTTGTTCTCCTTGACCATTAGAAATTCACCTCCATGATGAAAAATAACATTAAACTGTTACATATTTTGTGAAATGGGTTGGTAAAAAATTTTAGTGTTCGACATTCAATACATAAACAAGCTCAGACATTGGAAGAGAGTTTGAACAAACTAACTGCATACAGTGGAAGTTCCAATGATGTCTTCTTGCTTCCTCTTCGATGACAAAAAAATCCTTAATGGGATCAAACTTTGTCTTCTTGCATTGTGCTTCGTGATGCTTCAATGGCGTTCTTTGAAATCGTCTCCTTGATGGCTTCAATTGTTGTTTCTAAATTTGGCCCTAACAAACCCTAATTTTTAATGGGGCAATTAAAAAGGTAAAAAAAATGACATGGCAAGGATAAATACTTAAGAAACCCACGTAGACTAAAGAGAACATATCACATAGGCTTCAAATGAGATTCTGGCTTGAAATAATCAACCCAGGGGCCAGACAGATGGAATCTTGATGTTATAAAGGGGATCAAAAATATTTTATAGGTGGTATTTAGAAACTCGCTAACATTACAAGGAGTGACGTATATTTAACCCTTCTTTAAACTCCATTAACAACATAGCTTTTTGAACAACTTTATATAGATTTGTTTGATTTACTTCTTTTTAATAGAGTATTAGTGTGATTCATTTTTAAAAAGTAGATTTAAAATTTTGAAAAAACAAGAGGTTATAGATCTAAGGAAATGAGAAATTTAAAAATATATATTTGAAAATTTTGAATTAAAAAATGAAAAGGTAAATCTAAATTTTTTTAGGGGTGTAATAGGTTGGGTTATATCAGGTTTAGCATAATTCATTACTAATCTATTTAGTAGATTTAATTCATCGTCCAACCAGTCATTTCGCTTTCAAAATCGAACTGAGTCAATCCACTCATTTACGATTGAGTTGAGCTGAGTTCGTGAATTGTGCATAAAATAAATAAAAGTTTTTGTTATTCTAAAAAAATTGTAACACAATACGATACATTTTGATTTATTTCTTAATCTAAAATAAGATAAAACACATCATATAATGTCAAACTAAATTATCCATATGCATAGCATCAAAGTCGTTTTAAATTTTTGAGAGATCATGTGTAAGAAGTTGAATTTAACTTCAGCTGAATCGTGGATTTTTTTTAATAAGTCATATTTAAGCATCAATAAACAGTGAAATATGTGTATGAAAATCTTTTTTATCATATTTTAATCTTGAAAAAATGTGAAACCCTGTATTATGGATCGTCGGCACACCCTAAAAAATGACTCTACATCACACTTAATAATATCATTAAATTCCACAAAATTAATCATTTTCATAAAATCTATACGAGAAAATGATATAAAATCAAATAAACAATAGTTAATTTAAAAATTATGGTCCAATATTAGTCTAGCAATATTATTGGTGTTGCATTAAAATTAAAGAAAATTAGTAGTTTGTAATCATATAAGAAATTTATTTTTTCAATTAAAATTATTAAAAAAAAACACTAATTTCAAATCAATAGGGTGAAGTAGCGGGTTAAAAAACTCAAACTCAATATCCAACCAGTTGAAGTAGCGGGTTAAAAAACTCAAACTCAATATCCAACCAAAATTATGCAGGTTGTTACGGATTAAGTTGGACATACTTATAAATGAACGAATTTAAATAATTAATGAGTCCGTTCACTTTAAATTGACGGGTTTGCGGATCAACCTACATTTATGAGTATCCATTATTTATTATATATTTTATCTTTTAAATTTCTTGAGCATGAGACATGATACTGATGAAGTCACATACAAATAGAATCACTGAGCTGTTAGATGATAGAGGTGATTGGAACTTAGAGGCCATTAATACCATCTTTCCTTAAAACATTGTCGAGAGAATGTTGGCTATAAGTCCCCCAATGCTGACAGGGGAGAAGACTTATGCATGTGGAAGGGAACAAACACATAGATGTTATTTGTATCTAGTGCTTATGAGTCTCTTAGATGTTCTGCCAATGATGACAATTCTGAGGACTATAGCAGAATTTGGAGATTGGGGGTGCCTGAAAGAATTCGAACTTCTATGTGGATGGTGAAGCATAACTGTCTGATTACCAACCAGTGGTTTTCCTTCAAACACACGGGCATCCCTTACTGTCCTAATTATTCAAATAAAGATTATAAATCATTCATGCCTTGCGAGATTATGTCAATGCCAATCATATATGGAATAATCTGCCGGATGAAGCAAAATTCGGAGAAGTTCTTTGATTGTGACTTGCAGGAGTGGATTGAGTTCCATCTAAATATCACTAAGGATCAAGACTGGAATGACATTTGGGCTACTACCTTTCATATGCTTTGGTACGGGAGAAATCAAAGAAAACATAATGAAGACTACATCATGCCTCATTTATATCAAAATAAAATAACATATGCTCTATAATGTGACATTCATGTGGACACGTCAGTGTCATTTAATGTGACATGTTGGTGACAGTAATGTGACAACTTAACATTAAAAATAAAAAATAAAAAACTTACCTAAAGATGGCGCATTTTTGTGTTCTGAGAAGATACCCTTACAATTATTTTTTTGGCATTGTATAGGCGTGAATGATGACAACTTCCATTAACTATAGTAATGATTCGTTTTCATCGTCTTTGTCTTGTTTATCCCTAGAATACATCTACTAAAAATATATTCTTATGCATCATTTCATATTTCTCTATCTTCCATTTTGTCTTGTTTTCATTGTCTTTGTCTTGTTTTCATTGTCTTTGTCTTGTTTATCCCTAGAATACATCTACTAAATATAGCATGTACTCTTACTATGCTACATGTCCTAGTTCTTCTAACGTTCTGTCGTTTCACCAAAAGTTTGCATTATATGAACATTAATATTCTGATCCCATATATATTTATCTTTATCTTATTTTTTGTCCTCATCGATTTACATACATTGCAAAAATACAAAAATCAAAGGACTATATTTGTCATCAAAATTTTGAAGTCAAAATGTCCATTTCCCTTTAGAAAACTTGGGCAAGGGAAAATAGAAGTTTAAAAACAATGGCATACTAACATAATAACCTTTACAGAATGAATGATGAATGATTCTAAAAATAGAATATTAAGTGAACAAATTTAACCAATAAAACCTAATAAACAATATATGCATGAATCATAGTTCATTCTGCCGGCGTCCAGAAGGAAACGGAGCACTAAACCTAGCTGAGAAACTGTGCGGTAAGTCACCATCTTCACTCTGAGCCCCGCTACTGAAATTGAGGGCATAGCTGTGTTCATCATATTGGAACCTACCCTTCTGCTGCTTCTTGCCATACACGCTAATCTTTCTAATGAATGTCTTCCACTTAGGACCTGCAATCACTTCTGAAACCTCTTTCATCTTCCTCAACTTGCAACTCCACCAAGAATCTTCCCTTTGCTCCAGTAGACCTTTACCTTCATCATTGCCTTGACCCCATCTCAACCCTAAAACACGAAAGCATCCATATCCACATCCAGTAGACTCTTGGTGAGCATTGAAATCTTCTCCGTTGTGTTCCACAGCCTCAACCAATGGCTGTCCCTCAAAAGCAGACATATTTTCAGAGAAAGAATAGGAAGCTTTTAGAGTTAGAGTTGAGGGGTTTTATTTGTGCAGGTGCTTTTATAGGTGGTGATCATTAAAAAGAAGAAAGATGCAAAGGAGAAAATGACAAGGAAAATGAAGCTACAACTGTCTTAAAACATCTTCAACCAAAATAATAATAATAATAACTAATAATGGAGTATAATTTGCAAATAAAGCAATCCTGTGAAGTTTGGTAATGCATCCAACAACATTACGCGATGTAACTGACAAATGGCAATTTCAATTGCCAATCGGTCGCTCAAGACACCACAATACAATTTAATATTATAGAAAAGAAAAAGGAAAAACATAAAATATATGGATTCCTTTTAAAGAGAGATAAAGCAAACTCCAACGGTATGCTGTGTCACGCTCAGCTGTTGGTGGCTCCCACGTAAGATGGGAACTATAGAATTTAATTGCTGGGCCGGCCATTAGTCAAACCCAGTGGTGGTGTATGGTGAAGAAAAGAAACAGTCTTGGTTATTACAGTAACACAATCAATAATCCCTTGAAAAACATTAACAATAGCAAACATAGTTAAAAGTGCTGCTACTCTTTACCATATCAATTTTTACAACTGTAAACAGTTTAGAATATGAACAAACATTTTTCTTTTCTTTATTTTTTTTTCTTCTAGTAACGAACTAAAACTTACAGGGTCCAGTGAAGTTTGGGTATATTACAAGTATAGGTAGTAGTAGTAGTAGTACTGCTACTAGACGACTTGACACATAGTAACAACCATAGGTTACCTTCTCACACTTACGAGACCTTCGCAAGGAAAACATTGCAAAACGTATTGATCCGCCAAATGGATGGGAAACACAAACCATAGAGAGATAGGATTAAGCATCTTGCTCCTGCAGTTGCAGGAAATTACTTCTGCACTTGATTCTGAGATGAAGCTGGTTGCTGTTGTTGATTTTGTCCTTTGGGAGAGATCTTGGCAGCCATGGAACGTAAATCATTGGCAATCTCTGTAAATGAAGGTCTTTCTGATGGTTCTGAAGACCAGCACCTCTCCATCACCACTCTCCATTCTGGATCACAAGATTCTGGAACTAGAGGCCGCAAAGTGTTGTTCACAATGCCACCTGAATTATGTTTATAAAAAACCACAGCTCAATAACCAAATGCATATAATCGGAATCTATATAGTATGGATTCAGCCTTTTGATTACCTATGATGGCCCCATAGTGCAAATCAGCATATGGCTCTTCTCCAGTGAGCAGTTCCCACATGACAATACCAAATGAGAACACATCAACCTGAGAGAACAAATATTAGAACAAAACTAGTTGACTTAGAGAATGACAAAATGTGCAGGAAGCATTAAATAAATCAATGTTTAAAATAAGTAAAATAAACCTTTTCTGAAACAAGGCTACTACTCCCATTCAGCAGTTCAGGTGCCATCCAAGGTAGGGTTCCTCTAACACCACCGGATATTAGAGTCTGGCATTTTACTTTGGACAGGCCCAAGTCCCCAACCTGGTATCAGAATCAATGTGTGAATAACAGAAATATGGAACACATATTCAGTTGCTCTGCCATAAAATTATAACTGTTTAGATCATGAAAGGAAGTATATAGACCCTAAAATCAGTTCAAAATAAGTGCTTAAAGTCACAGAGAGAATGCTTATTCTAAATCATTACTAGATTATTGTGTTAACTGCATTAAATATGTAAAAACAATAAAATTAAAGATAAGGCATGGGCAAATAGGCATTTTTAAGCCATTAAAACTAACAAACTGCAGGTATGGCCCATTAATAGAACAATTGTACACGACAAAAAACATTTCAAACTCCTCGTCTACTTCATGTCGGCGAACATCAGGTGACATACGCCAATGATCCCATGCAAAGTCACTTCCATCGTATTCAGGTGGATTGTGAACCCAGATAACAATCTTCAATAAACTCCAGAAAGCCTAGCATTATTAATTTGGTAAGACTATGAGGTGTCCCAGCTGTGGGACAGTAATCACGAGCAATAGTGTTATTATCCTCAGAAAGGTCACCAATTCAGTCAGGGTATGGGTGGGTCACTGATTAAACCAGTGGGTCACTGATTAAACCAGTGGGTCACTGATTAAACCAGTGGGTCTCTAATTAAACCAGTGGGTCTCTGATTAAACCAGCGGGTCGTTAGTTGATTGCATGAACCAATGTAAACAAAAAAATTGTTATTTTATATTGTAAATGCTATCAAATTCCTTTAGGTAATTGCTTAAGGAATAGAAAGAGGTAAGCATGAGTGACAATTTTATGTTTTTATTATGGTGACCAGTGTTTAACTTATATTCTCGAGATAAACTTTTCCTTTTATTGATTCCTTACCAACCAAATATAAACTTGCCAAAGCTCTCCCATAACTAGGGACGGATCCACATACAATATGTATGTATGTATCTATGTGTTTTAAATTACTCTGTGCCATAGTGTGCTTTTGTATGCATTGCATATGCCAGATTTTTGTTTCAATTTAAAAGAAAGTAAAATGCTTTCTTACTGTCCGAAGAAAACGATACACATTGTCCTATGTTAGACATCACATCACTCTACAATTGATGGCAAAAACATCCAAGAACCGACAGCACATAACTTGTACAAAAACCATATGCAATCAAAGCTAGCTGGCTAACTATAGTGATGGAGCAAATGGTTTTGACTATCCACATTTCTAAACAGACGGGCACAAAGAAATTTCAAATACAGCATCATCAAAAATTAATCTTGTCCCGTCCAATGATTCTCCTTATTATAGGCATCAAAAAGAATGACTCTACAAGATATATGTCTCCACAGATCTAACTCCTTTATTATTATTTATTAAATAACTCCTTTTTTAACAAGATGGATTGCTGAGAATTTGAGGCAAAGGAAAATGAGGTGGGAAGGATAAGAAGACAGCCTATCAGACATGAGAGTGATGTTAATGAATGAAAGGAAGAGTTATAATCTGTTTTTCAAGTAACAGCATAATATCAAACAAGTGTGCAAGAACCACAAAGCAATTTCAGTGATGATGAATAAGACAAGTTATCTCCACACTAACAGTAGGGACAAGTTATCATATAGTATCATAAACCAATATTTGTTGAGTCAACCAATAGGCTATGTGGCTTTTTGGCGTATCTTATTCTATTCTGTTCCTTAGTATTTAAGAACTGTGACATGGGAACCGAGAAACTAAAGAGAACTGGTGCAAATCAATGGGAAGCAACTCCAACAGAGACTCTAATAGTGTGAAGACCACTGCATCCGTTATAGAGGACAAACATTTAAAAGATGAACCAAGGCTGAATTGCAAGACAAAGCAAGAAAGGACAGGTCAGTCTGGTGTGATAAGAAGTTTGGACAGGACATATATATGAGCAAACATACAATTACACAATGTGCTCATGGAAGTGGAAGGAGAAGAGGAGCAGAGCCCGGATCAAATTATACCATAATGTTCTACGAAAGACCATGTTTCTATCCAACCTGTTAATCTCGAGATCCTTCTTAATAGTGGGATCCAAGGAAATTCAATATCCATGTGCTGGTTACTGATTATGGGTGCAGCGGGAGAAATTCTCATTTTCTACTGGTTGTTCAATTTTGTATGATAGAGGAAAGATTTGGGGAATCCGAACTGATGCTATGCACCACAAGTTGGATGCTATTCAATTCCATTGCAAGTCAGCAAGCTTAGACTCATTAATTCGTTTTGGTTCACAAAAGAATTAATATTTCTTCTGGCTGTAAGAATGGAGTTTGAAACCACTTCTAACCCTGATGACAACAGGTTGTTTATAAGAGGGCGGCATTGATAGGACATCTAGACAGACACACAGGCATACTCTAGAAGGTTGTAGAAGAAGTGAAATAAGAGTTAGTTAGGATATTCCCTGACTTTAAGGAATTTATGTTATAAGAGAGGGAGGAAGTTGAGAGGCATTCAGAAATGTTGTTTGAAAGTTTGTTAAGAGAGTTACTCTCTGGTTTAGGAGCTTAGCTCTAGTTTAGGAGTTCATAGAACTCTAAATTATGCATTTCATTTCTGTTCTCCACCATTGTAAGAGCTTGAGGCTCACCATTTCTAATCAATAAAATTCAGTGTATCATCTTAAAGTTCTGAGCCCTATCGCATCCCCTGAAGCCATTCATGCAAGGCAAATAAAAATATTACACTCTTTAAATCAGCCTTTCTGAAGATTCAAATTTCATATATCCGACAAAAGCAGCAAATTGTAAGTAAATCTATCTCAACATGCTACTCCAAGCAAAGCTACCCCAACATATCCAAATGACATTTATTGAAGGATCTTCTCAAAAAGATCGGAACAGGGGTAATATGTTGACACACTCTGGACTTTCACACAATTAAATATAATTGCTAAGAACCATAGATAGTTAGAGTATATGGAAGTTGGTGCATTAATTAATCAGCTCCTTATATACATAATAATTTATGAATGTCTAACACAGATAAATGCTGCAGAAAATTACTTTAAATATGATACTATCAATCAGAAACATTTAAAACCTTGCATATTGGGCGATGTGGATCACGAAGATTCACAAGCAAGTTGTCACTTTTCAAGTCAAAGTGTACTATGTTTTTTCCATGGAGGTACTCCATACCAAAGGCCACATCCATTGCAATCATAAGACGCTTGCGCTTGTCAACATTCCTGATATGATCAAATAAGTATCCAACATTTTTAACATGGAACGGTGATATTTTAAATCAGGGTAATGCAAAATAACCAATATATGGGATTGTAATCATTCAAGACATACAAATACCTTCCATTCTTCTCGAAGGCATTTCTTAGAGAACCATTAACCATATACTCTGTTACTGTTGCCACAGAACCTCCTGGGCCATCAAGAACAACACCATAGAAAGCTACCACATTTGGGTGGTGCAAGTCAGCTAGCTTGATTGCCTCATTCCAAAAATCAGCTCTCTGC